CCCCCCTTCATTTTTTTCATACTGCGTAAAAAAAAATTTTTTTCTCCTCTTCATTTTCATACTGCGTTAAAAATAAAAAAATAAAAATTTGGGGGGCTATCTTTTTTCTTAGTTCTACATTGTGTTGTTGCTTTTTGGGTTTTTTTCCAGAAAAAAGGCTTTTTTCTTCTTCTCATGGTCCTTTTTGTCTCATTATTGTTCCTTCTTTTCCTGTTGTTCATAATGATCATATTGATATGTTGTCCATCACAACCGTATTGATCATGGGTGGTTGGTGGGTGTTTGGTGTGGCCTCTGTGACCTAGTGGTTAGGGTTAGGCTACCGGATTCGTAATCGTGAGGTTGCGGGTTCGGGGGTTCGAGCCACGGGCTCGAAGTTGCGTCTTTGACAAAGGTACTTTATGCAAATTTTCCTCACTTCACCCAGGTGGGAATGGGTACACGGCCGTAGACAGTGAAAGATCTTGTCAGTATGCTAGTGTTTTAGCGCCCATAAATGGCTGCTTGCTCTGTATTCTTCCCAGGAAGTTGAGGTTGTTTCAGAATGATCTCAGGTCTGCTGGGGTAATAGTATAGATTGTGAAGCGCATAGAGCTTGCTGTTGAGCGGGGATTTGCTCTATACAAATGTACCTATTGCCTATTATTATTTGTTTGCTCTTCCTTTCCTATCCCTGTGGGTGGTCGGTGGGTGCCCTGGTGTTGTTTACTCCTTCCTTTCTGTCAAACATCTATCGTCCTGATCTCTCCTTCTTCTTTATGTTTGTTACTCGCTTGTAACACATTTGATCTTTGGCACTTATATGACCATATTGTGTTGCAAGGGCCGTAAAACTTACTAAAACTAATTGTTGTATTTTTTCCCTTCTGTTTTCCGTATCTGACCTAGCCTTTGATGACAGAGGCGGAGTCTCCTGTGATCGATTTCTACCCCGTCCAGTTTGACACCGACCTCAACGGCAAGCAGCAGGAGTGGGAAGCGGTGGTCCTCATTCCCTTCATTGAGGAGGTAAACTGTTGTGTGTCGATGAAATGTTTTAAAATATGCTTTTAGGTGTTTGGTTTGTGAGTAGGAGAGGTCCTCATGTATGGTTTCTGCCTGTTTGTGTGTCTGTCTGTGTGTGTCTGTCTGTCTGTCTTTCCGTTTGTCCATCTGTCAGGCCGTCCTGTCAATCCCTCCTTCCCTCATTTCTTAAAGGGTTCATGCTAATGTTCTCTCAAAATCAGTCTGTATGTTTCCCAGTTTTGTTTGTCAGTCACTGTCTCTCTCTCTCTCTTTCTCTCTCTCTCTCTCTCTCTCTCTC